CATAATCAGAAGTAGGTTTAAATCCAAATAAATTTTCCAGCGTTCAGAAATCAAGATTAGAAAATCGTAACGTCAACGGAGTCATTGCAAAATTTTTTCACGACGCGTGCGATAGAGCAACTCTTGTCCCTCCGTCATCGTTATAGTATTTTCATTACAACATCATAAAAATGTATTACATAGAGGTATCAAAGCGTTGTTCAAAACGCAATAGATTGTAATAAATTCCACTTTGACAAGTCAATGAACATTACAAAATTTAGGGTAAAGTCAGTCCGACTAAATTAGACTTGACCTGGGTTTTATGATCATCAGTGGCACTCAATTTTAGAAAACTCAGTGTAGTTCCTTCAATTGTAGAAACGTAAGGCCATAAGACATTTCTCGCCAGCGTCGATTTAACAACCCGTAATTTGAAAGAAATCACGTAAAAATTGGTTCACCAAGGCATAAAATGACGAACGGCGAGTCGCTCTACAAGCCTGTGAAAAATCGTGATTGCAGCAATTGGAGGAAATGAGAATCCGAGCATTTGTTGTGGTTTATGAAATTACAAGCCATGATTTCTTTATAAGACGTTGCGGTCGTAGTGTGTGTGGTTGTGCGTCTATGGACAGCACGCAAGTATGATAGAGGCGGTAAAGACCCTCCGGCGCTCTTATTCAAGAAATTACGTTTTTTATAAGATATTGTAATTTATGTAAATATGATAATAGCGCACATTATATGTTTATAATGCAAGGCAGGCTGGCGCGATAGCCTTGGGTCCGTGCGGCGAATTTTCCACATTGTCAGTCACGTTCCGGCGAGAGAGAAAAGAATGTAGACGTCAGATGTGCCTGATTGGAATCCCACAAAGCCGACACGAGGTGAACTTGTAATACTTTTATAAGCGCGGTGTGCCGCGCCGACCAATAGTATGACTGACGTGACCCATCATTATACAGCGATGGACGGCTGGGTTTCGTTTCGATGGGACCCTCCTCACCCACCGCCGCGGCCGCGAGCCAATTCCCACCATAATAACGCAGCACCATTGTTCCCTAACCCATATTGGAAATTCTTCGCCGAAAGGTCACAGGATTTGACGCAAAGTTAGAATTTCTGCCACACTGTTGAAGAACGGTAATGAGACTAAGGAAACTCAAAAAATTAAGAAACACGGTTTCGTTGACTCAAAAATGACAACTTTACCATTACTCATGCAAAGTTATGGCCCGACATGTCTAGCACGGATTCTGAGATGGGTATCAGATATAGAAGAGAAATACCAGCATGACCATGATATCTTAAGTTAAGAATGATGACGGTAAAGGATGCAGCATATGAAGTCCCCTTACTAAGGAAATCACAATTAATAACAAGAAATCTTTTTTGCAAACAACAGAGGCCCTAGAACTGAGCCTTGAGGTACACCAGAAAATAAGCAATCGACTCATGGCCTTGATATTTGACGTACCTTAATCTACTACACAAATAACCTATCAATTTAATCCGAGTATCAGGAAAATCAAAGTTACACAATTTTGCTAACAGATATTGTGATTCAGTTTGTCAAAGGATTTGGAGTAGTCAGTGTACACCACATCAACTAAATTTAGCATCAAGTTATCAGCTGCAAACTGAGTAAATACACACAAATTTGTAGTAGTGGACAGACGTTGACAAATCCGTGCTGAGATTCACTAATTACGTTGCGAATATTAAAGAGGAAAGATTTATGTAACACAGTTTCAAAAACCTTGGCAAAATTACATATCAAAGACATGAGTCCATAATTTTCAACCACATTTCTTTTGCCACGTTTGAAAACCGGGGAAATTATGAACAATTTCCATAAATCAATCAAGGAAAGTGCTTGTCTTTAGGATTAGATTGAATAATAATATAGAAACAGGATAAACTAACATGGATAGCCAATCTGACAACAATAAAATAGAAGTATTGTCGTGACCCGATGTATAATTAGCTTAATTTTCTTCACTGGTGTTCTTTTGTGTTGTCTTGTTATTGATTATCAAAGAAAAGTTTTCTGGACCGTTGACGCGTAAAGACATCGGGCCCTCTCTCGGTTTTGGAAAGTCGAGACGAAACTCCGTCCCATCACCGGCGACGTCTGTTTGAAGGCGCTGTCACTCAAACGCGGCCGGGTATTTCTGAAAGGGCAACGATCATAACATGCACACATGTGAGAGACATAATAAGCGTCGTGTTCCGGGCGTCTTGTTTACCCGGTCGGCGCCGAGACGCACTTTTCGACACCTGTCCGCTGGCGTCATGTAGCTGTCGAAAATGCGTCGTCGTCATCGTCGTCGACCGGCTATTTTGACTATGATCACAGCTTAATTCTCTCCGAACATAAATCCGGTTAAATCAGTAAAACCTCCGTGGCACTCATACGAGAGACTTCTTTAATGATGCATTTTATGTTTTTGCACGACGGACATTATTTTAATTCGTTCGGTTGGAACGCTTCCAAAGCGTCTCGGGCACATGTTTACTCTTCATTTCGTGTTTTTTTTCCTGGACGAAGCGACATGTGCGTGATAACGAACCCAAATTCCCAAACTCCCTCGTAAATCGACGAGCCAACTAAACTCGGGCCAAAGGCACTTAAAATCGGATAGGATCATCTCGCATCTACTACTTAATTCACGTACAGGAATTTCCTACAACTGCCGAGCCGACATCAAATTAAACTTTGAATACCGACGGTTGATGGGCATTTTTCGGCCACGCCAATGAAAGAGCTCTTCGAAGTGGTCCTTGGTGCTCGCTCACCTACACGCTTCGGACAATAAGTCTGAATTATTTATCGACGGAAAAAGGTCCAGAGGTCAAAATATGGAAGACTGGACGAAAAATTAGGGACGTGGACCGCCGAACTTTGGGAAACAACTAATGGTTCTAATGAACTGAAATTTGGGGAACTACGGGTTTAGGGTATGGGGCTAACCAAGGGTGATTTGAAGATACTTGTTGAAAAGCATGATTGTGTCCATTTTTCACGTGACAATGTGGCTTATATTTGTTCGTTTTGTGGTTGTAAGCAACCCGATGCCGAAAGATTTTTCCGGTGTATTAGGGACGTACGGTTTGGCAGGGCTGCGGGTTCGACGCGAGCAGTGATTTGAAGTTGCCATGTCAGTGACAGATAGCCAGTAATCCCGCAGACGATAGATTAATGTGTGTTAATGAATACTGGCGAGGGGTCGCCTTCTCACAACAAACAAACGCTGCTTGTCTATCTCGACTTTCAACGTGTTTCAGCAGCATTGCATATGGACAAGCCGACTAAAAATAAACAAATCCAGATGCGCGAGTAGTCCGCATTACACAGCCATTTCGGCTTTTACGCGAACGTAAAAGGTTTAACGCTGATTGTTGACATCGTATAATAATTAGGGATGCTGAGATGGTTCCCCTGAGGTGAGCTTATCTCGGGCCACAAAGAAGCGGCTGCCGTAAACAGCGCGCGTAGACTCCGCGGAGTTGGCGCGCTCTGGAATTGAAAAAAAGTGATAGATAATGAGTATGCACCCCGCCACTTGGTCGCAGTATCAGCGATGATGGATTCGTTCGGGGTGGTAAGGCGGCGATAAATCCGGAGAGCTCTCTTCGCCCCTGTCTTCGTCGCGGGGGCCCGACCAGCGCTATATCGTGATCGAACATTCCTGGTCCGTCGTTATCCGTCTTCGGATCGCCAAAAACCAGTTCGTGTGTCGGATGATCCGGCAGCAGCCGACACCGAAGACGATTAATCAAGCGTTATCGCACAGCCTTCGGGGCTGTCTCTCCCCGGGATTTCACCGGGCATTGTGTGCCCGTTCCGCGCAATTATCTTAACGAACTCACCACCGAAACGGACGCGCAGTGACGGATTGGAATATTTCGACAAGATTTCGGGCCAAATCCTCTATAATTAAGAGTATCGCGGCTCAAACGTTGAACCGCGTTCGGGATCATCACGCTGTGGTAATCCCCGACATAAGTAAAATTCGCACCCGAATGTCTTTGCACGCATAAAGAAAACTCTCGGGTCATAATATTGGTAACCCTTCGGAAATTACGAAGAACTTCTTAAAAGTTGAGGTGTTTATGTTCCATAGAGAGGTCAAGCCTTATGATTTTATAATTATGGACTCAGCGCAGTATAGATATATGTGGATATGTCGGTATAGAGCAGATTGTTTTTCTGATCCATTTGAAGTCGCATTAGGGGTACCACAAGGTTCTCATTGTGGGCCAATTTTGTTTCTTATAAATAATCTAGATTTAATTTATTGACTTTAAATTTGGATAAATGTTACATGTTCTTACACAGCTTCTTTGACTCTATTACAATCCACAGAAGCAATACAGACCTAATCAAGAACTACATATTCTAAAGCATCATTTTTAAAGTCAAATCATGGAGAGAGGGACCAATATTGTAAAGATTAAACCCAAGAAAACATTCCTATTATTTGGTATTTCGGTTAAATTTATGGCAAATTTTTTACATGATTATTTAATATAGTTATTATTTGATAAATCTATCTGCGTGAGTGTCCTTTATCTACAAGCACCTATTAGTCCACAAATGCATAAAACATGTAAACGAACGCTCCCTGTTAATTTGAAGTGCTGTTAATTACATTCCGATTGCTCTCCGACTTCCGATTGCGCCTTTTAAGGGCCTCTTGTCGAACTTTTATTGTGGTGAAACCACTCGTGTTTGTTTCGGCTTTCGTCAAACAACAACACAGGAGTCGTTTGTGAAAGTCGTAGGTCGGCTCTAATCTGATTTCTTCCCCTTTCAGTTTGCGTGTGAGTCATTAAACCCCTCACCCTCGGTTTGTGTGCATACATGGTATGTACGGGGTTCTGCAATCTCTTACTGCATCGTCTGTCATTACGCCACCCGCAAAATTGCGTCGCGTAATTAGGCGGTCGTGCGCAACGCGCTTCTAATGTCGCTATTCAATGAGCATGATGGAGGATGGACGTTTTTGTTGCAGGTGATGCCAGTAATGCCAGTATCGGGAGCGGGGAGGGCACAGGGGAAGAAGACGACGACACGAACGGGAAGAAGAATCAAAAAAAGAGAGGCATCTTCCCCAAAGTCGCCACCAATATACTCAGAGCGTGGCTCTTCCAACACCTTACGGTGAGTTGCACTTTGTCGATAGAGATTGAATGCTGAAGTGCATCCGGCGCGGTCAGTCTTGCGCGGTCGGTCGAGGATTCGGGGTCTTATAAGCAGATTCGGACGGAAATCTTTAATCAAAGCGATTGTATTGATCTTAAGGATGACAACACGTCTAAAAAGTTTGTGAGTTGGTCGGGTTGAAAGTGAAGAGAACTGACAGGAAAAGGTCTCGATTTAGAAATTTTACCGTTTTATTTTACAACGAAAATTAAAGCAACTCTTACTAATTTTATTGAAAAGATCTTTACAACTTAAAATCAGGTCACATAATAAGTTCAGAAACTTCCTTATCGTTCTTGTCATTAAGTCACAAGTATAGATGAAGCTCAATTTTGAAACATACAAATTAGTTTTTGATCAGAGGGACTATTAGTAAATGTATATTATGAACTGATTGTTTTTCAATTTCAATTACATATATCTGGACAAGGAAATTGCTTTGAAAGATGTTGGGTTGGAAGGAAAAAGACCTATTACAAGGCCGCTTTAGTTTTCGCAAAACTAACTTTTATCTTGTTTGCCACTTGTCATTTTCGTTTTTCGCAATTTGGCGTGTGTTGCGTTTGCAAAAAATATTCCGTATCTATTATTTATTTATTCGCTCCCGATATTTGGTAACGTCAGCTCAACAAATTATTTAATAGTGTTACGATTGACGGGCGAATAATAAATCGGGCGTTGGTAAAACTCAAAAATGTATTTCTTTAGTTGGAATTACAACACTATCTATTGCAACGAATATGTACAGAAATTATTCCGGCGCTCTCGACTGTCTTCACTGGATGAATGAATCTCATTACCTACGGTCGCCTCTATTTAAACTCATAGTCTCTGATCGAGATCCTTCACGAACATCCATCGCGACTCCGCTTCGAGACTCCCCTGGACGCCGCTTCGAGACGCTCCAGACCTGTCTTTATGCGCCCGCCTCTCGGCCGTCAACAGCGATGATTCACCCATCAGCGCCGTGCGTACGTCCAGAAGGCTCTCGACCGCCATAGGCGTCGTACTGGGGCGGCATAAGGATGTATTTCGTAACACTGCCCCCCTCTTCAAATCCGATCGTCCCGATCGGAAGCGTCTTCGTTGTTTCCTTCGTACCGTTTTAGTCGATCGAGATGAACGATCTTCATCTTCGTCTTTGGTCCACGTTGGATCCGATAAACTACGTCATTTATTCTAGTGACGATAGTGTATGGACCTTCCCAGTCAGGAGCCAGTTTTGGACAACGTCCCTTCTTCCGTCGGGGGTTATACAGCCACACTAAGTCATCTTCCTGGAATCCGCCACAGTTGGCCTTCACATCATAACGGGTCTTCATTCGGTCACTGGCAATCTTGATCCGGCCCCTCACTAGTTCATGTACGTTGACCAACTTCTCTTTCAGTTCGTCCACGTAGTCACGTACTTCCATTGGTTCTTCAGATGGCAATCCAAAGACTAGGTCACAGGGCAGCCGCAGTTCCTTCCCAAATACAACGTGAGCAGGTGTTTGACCCGTGGTGTCGTGGATAGCTGCGCGGTAGGCCAGCAGGAATAGTGGAAGGTGCTGGTCCCAATCCCTTTGGTGCTCTTCTACCACTTTCGAAAGGTGTTGCTCCATAGTCCGGTTGAACCTTTCCACCATGCCGTCGGACTGTGGGTGTAGTGGCGTTGTCCTTGTCTTACGTATTCCCAGTAGCTGCATCACTCTTTGGAAGACGTTGGATTCGAAATTGCGTCCCTGGTCTGAGTGAAGTTCCAAGGGGACGCCAAACCTACTGATCCAATTGTCAACCAGTACTTTCGCGACCGTGACGGCTTCCTGATTTGGAATGGCATAGGCATCTGGCCACTTGCTGAAGTAGTCGCTAGCCACCAGGATAAACTTGTTGCCGTCGTTTGTTACAGGGAACGGACCGGCCACATCGATGGCGATTCTTTCGAAAGGTGCCCCAACATTATATTTCTTCATCTTTCCCCTCGCCCTGGTATGAGGACCTTGGCTGGCCGCACACGTCGTACACTTGCGACACCAACTTTCGACATCGTCACGATAACCTACCCAATAAAACCTCTCCCGGATTTTCGACAAAGTTTTGTTCACTCCAAAGTGGGCTCCAGATGTTCCGGCATGAACTTCCTCTAAGACCTTGGAAACCTTTACCTTGGGGAGGACCAGCATCGTCTTAGAGGTACGCCCATCAGGACTCTCCCACTTTCGCTTCAAGAGCCCATTTTCCATGACCAAGGAATCCCATTGGGCCCATAACGCCTTCAAACTGGGGGATTGGTCGGACAATTCTGCCCAGCCGGGTCGTTCGACTCCTTCCTCCTTCCACTTTAGTATTGGGCCGATTATGTCGTCTCCTTCTTGCTCACGCTTTAACCGCGCCGTTGTCCATTCTTCATCTTGCTCAAAAATCGTCCGACGAACGGGCAGGTTCCCTTCTTCCGCGTCGATCCTGTCGCAGTGCTTGCACTCTCCACACGGACGTCTTGACAAAGCGTCAGCGTTGTTGTGAAGTCGACCCGCTCGGTGTTTGATCCTAAAGTGGTAGTGCTGTAGTCTTTCCAGCCAACGCGCTACTTGGCCCTCGGGATTCTTTATCCGCAGTAGCCACGAGAGGGCAGCGTGGTCGGTCCTGATCAGAAACTCCTGTCCGTATAGATACTTGTGGAAGTGGTTGACGGCTTTGACAATGGCTAGCAGTTCCTTCCTCGTGGCACAGTAATTTCTCTCTGGTTTGGAATGTAATTTACTAAAATATTCGATAACCCTTTCCTCCCCATCTTGTATCTGCGACAATACGGCCCCAACTCCCGAGTTACTCGCATCGGTATCGAGGACGAACATTCCTTTGTCCCTGGGGTAAGCCAAAATGGGGCTGGTGCACAAAGCCGTCTTCAGTCTTTTAAAGGCCATCTCACATGTACTGCTCCACTTGAAAGTCGCCTTCTGTTCCGTCAGTTGGTGTAACGGTGCTGCGATGTCGGCATACCCTTCTACAAATCGTCGGTAATATGTGCAGAGTCCCAAGAAGCTTCGTAGTTCATGCTTGTCTCTTGGTATGGGCCAATCCCGGATAGCAAGAACTTTCGTCGGGTTGGTTTCTATTCCCTTCTCCGACACGATATGGCCCAGGAATTCGACTCTTTTCTGGAAGAGCGAGCATTTCTTGGGATTTAGTTTCAAACGAGCGTTTTCCATTCGTTCTAGCACCTCCTCGAGATTCTTTAGATGGTCGTCAAACGTTTTGCCCATAATCATGACGTCGTCGAGGTATACCAGACAGGTCTTCCATGTCAGTCCTTTTAGCACCATCTCCATCAGCCGCTCGAATGTTGCTGGCGCATTACATAACCCGAAGGGCATAACGGTGAAGTGATAGAAGCCACTTCCGGTGGAGAACGCAGTCTTTTCTTTGTCGTCCGGGTGCAAGCCTACTTGCCAGTAGCCACTCTTCAAGTCCAAGGTCGAAAACCACGCCGAGCCGGATAAGGTCGTCAAGGTATCGTCTATTCGAGGAAGGGGGTAACTGTCTTTCTTCGTGACGTCGTTCAGTTTCCTGTAATCGACGCAAAATCGGGTAGTCCCGTCCTTCTTGGTAACCAAGACTACTGGAGATGACCACGCGCTGTTGGATTCTTCAATTACCCCATCTCTCAACATGTTGTCCACGAGTTTTGTAGCTTCTTCTTGTTTGGCTAGGGGTAGTCTTCGAGGAGCCTGACGGATCGGTTGCGTGTCACCAGTGTTTATTCGGTGTTCTACGATGTTGGTCTTCCCGAATGGTTCCTCCTCTGAGGCGAAGACATTACGGTGCCTACGAATGAGTCCTTTGGCCAGTTTTCTCTCACGAGCAGACAGCTGGTCCCAGTTGACCTCCAAGCCTTTGGTATCCCCTTCCTTAGACTCATTCTCAACGTCTTCTTCCTCGCAGTTCAATACTCGGGCGACTGGCTCACACATTCCGATAATCTCCCCTTTTCTAATATTGACTGCATTGGGAAACACGTTTGCCACACGTAAGGGTATGTCACGATTGGTTTTGACTAGGGTGCTCGCGATCAGGAGCCTGTGGGTCGAGTCACGTGCCGGCTGCACCATCCCCAAACTGTATCCGGGGTTCGTCTCTACTCTGGCGGGGACGATGACTTCTGCATTACCATCTACCTTCGTTGTCTGACAGACCACTAGTCTGACCGTTGCAGCTTCCACATTCGGACGTCCCAGCACAAATTCTTCGGCTCCAAAACGCAGAATTTTCTGTTCTGGATCGATCATTAAACCATACCGGCTGATTAGGTCCATTCCCAGAATGAAATCGTCAGCGATTTCCGCCACCAGAACTTCATGCCTTATTCGGAGTCGACCGAGCTCTACATTCACCACCGCTGTACCCAGAACCGGTGTTGTTTCTCCTGTGACCGTCTTTACATTCGTGGCGGTATATACTGATTTAATTTGGCAATTTTGTAACCTGGATCTGCGTGCAAGGGACACTTCGGCTCCTGTGTCGATGATGATCTTCGATTCCCGTCCATTGATTTTTCCGCTGATTGTCGGACTGTCGACGCTCCCCGCGATACTTCTAACCATTACAGTTGTTGGGGCTTCTCTTTTAGCAGCCAGTACGCGCCCCGAGGTACCGACTGCCTTTAGTTTTCCTGCTCCTGATGTAGACGAGGTCGCGGCTGCGATCTCCTCATCGGCCCTGGCGATCTAACACGGCAATCCCTCCTAACATGCCCTTGACGCCCACACCTGTAACATTCTAGGCGCCCTCCATGTTGTCTAGAACTGCCCGTCTTGATTTCGGCAATTATTTCGCGGGCGAATTTCTCAAAGTTCTCTCTCATTTTGTCGAGACTCTCTTGAATAGGGTTTACTTCGCCCTCAACCCCGATGCCTCGTATCTTAACGTTGGAACGAGGTGAGCTGTTGTATGCGGCGTCCACTTCTAACGCTCGAATC